AGCCGAGGAAGACCACGTTGCTCACCGAGTACACGAGGAACAGCCACATCAGCACCTCCTCCTCGACAAGCGGGGTCCTGTTGGAGCAAGAATAAATTCATCGCCGGTGTGAGCCGTGATACAGCATCTTCTCATCTTCATCTTCTCCAAGAGGCTGCTCTACGTACATCATGAACCAGCGCGTCCAAACCGCGTTGAACGACAAAACAAAGAAGGGGACCTCGATAACGTAGAAGATACGGATCGGCTCAGAGCAGATGCGCTGGACGATCAGACGAGTCTGCAAAGTACACACGCGAGTCAATCATATGACTGTCCCCTCCATCGTCCCCCACCACGGGTGGAGTCGGGCCGTACCACGAGGTAGACAAAGGCCATGGCGCAGGACATCATGATCGTGCGCGGGTGGGCGACGAACAGCTCCCAGGAGAGGCCGATCCACAGGCTGCCGAGGCCGACGACGACGGTAATGGGCGTGAGCTGGAGAAGCGCCTTGATGATAGCGCCGGGTCGGTGCTTAAGCATTCCGACCACCTTACCGATGCTGTCGGCAGACAACCCAGACCGGTCAGGGCTGGACTAAGAAATAGAAACAGACCTCAGCTGGTGTGGGAAGGGCACGCACTGGGTGGCACAGGTGAGCACGGCGCCGATGTAGAAGCTGATGGCCAGGGCTTTGCCGATGCTGATCTCCCCGAAGAGGTTGATCGACCAGAAATCAAAGCCGTAGCACCCTGCACGGTGTATGACAAGGAGCGTCAGTGGCCAGCGCTCGATTGAAAATGGCGGCGCGAGAGATGAACAACGTACGAGCAATGCCGGTTCCGACGTAGACCGCCATGCTCAGGACCTGAGCTTCGGTGGGACCGTTCCACTTGCCCAAGACGAGCGACCCGGAATAGTACCTGTGGTTGAATCAATGGCACATCAGTTAGTAATGCCTCGCCGCAATCAAAGACAATGCTGTACGCACACGTCTGGGGAGTGGTGTGCGGGTTGTGTAAGAGTGTAAGTGTGCCCATCAAATTATAACCGTCGGCGCGGAAAGAAGCCGACAGCTATCTTCGTGATGGAACCCTCCACACCATCACGTGGAAGAGGGTGCGGATCGCTGTGGGCGCCATTAAATTATACTTGGTCATGGACGTATCCCAAGTATAAATCGTGAGGGCCGTTGTGGCTACGTGTGGTAGCGGTGTGCGGTATGTGTTGTATGTGCGTAAAGAATGGAGGTGAGGAGACGCACTCTTCCCAGTGGGCGAAGTAGAAGGGCAGGCAGATGGCAAGCAGCGTAGCGTAGCCATACCACGGGCCGAGCTGCAGAGTGGCCGT